CACACACACACACACACACACGCACACGCACGCTGAAACCACTCTCCGGGAATCAGAAAATCTGCCGTTTAATTTAAAAGAGGCGTTGGTGCAAGGTGCGGAGAGTTGAAGTCTGCCTGTGTGTGTGTGTGTGTGCGTGTGCGTGTGCGTGTGTGTGTGTGTGTGCGCGCGCGTGTGTGTGAGTGTGCGTGCGTGCACGCTTTGAAGGGGCCTCTCTTGTTCCCAGTGGCTGAATCCATCCCATAGTTACTCAAGCATATCACTAGCAGAGAATGGAGGATTGCTCCCCACACGTTCTCCAATTGCAGTCCAATAGACGGCATATTAACCTCTGGTTAGCGCGGGGGCCAAGTTTATGGCTTAAACTGTGGGACGTTTAAGAGGGAGGGGGGACCCACCTTCAGCTTGAGCAGCTGTGCTTTCTTTTTACAACGAAACTAGCATGCAAGGAAGTGAGCGGAGAGCATTTAGCTTAATAAGAATTTGCAAAAAGAGACTAAAGAGGTGTGGCCAAGCCCAAAATAAATATTCCTTTTCCACTTGTTTTTAGCTTCCTTTGTATGCATGAATAGCTTCACGGGGAGAAGGGACACAGGCGCAGGACGGCTAACATGTTGTGAGGAGTGACAGCTTGTTCCAGAGCCCACTAATCGTCCTCATCTGTGCCTGACTTGTCAGTGCCCAGATTCTGTCAGTGCCAATCAGCCAATTAATTGAACACAATTAGCAACCCCCACCTCCTCCCCCATGCAGACCACATTCTTCAAAGGCTCATTCCTCACCCTCCCTTCCTCCCATTCTACCTCTCATTCTGTCTCTGCTTCCTATGGCGCTGGTGGAAGACACTTTTCAGTTTTTATTAATGTGCCGCGGCCAATTAACGCAGTGGCATGGAGGCCAGAGCTCGTCATCTGCTGCCTGCCACCATCCCGGCTGTCGGCTGCGGCCCCGCGCCACCTCCACCGTGACCAAAACGCTCTAATTCAATTTATGCAATCACTGTTTTTTTTAAATAGTCATTTTGTCTGCTCAGATGAGGGGCCTTACTGCCCGCTGGGCCGGCCCTCCCGTGTGAGGGACGGGGGAAGGGTGGGATGTTGTTGGAGCAGGAGTTGACTGACTTTGGGGTCCCTTGTATTTTCTTTTGTAATTTATTCTTTAATTTCTCTTTTGTTTGAGATGTTCAGATTCCAATTTTCAGATCCAGTGAAAATTCAACTTTTATTTAGCAGTGTTATTGGGTTTTTCTGCATTCTATAAGTGTATATATATGTACAGTTATAGATTTTTAAAGTGTTTTTATTCAATATTTTCTCAAAGTCAAACACTGGATCTTTATGACTCCTGGGGGTCAGAATTAAATTCTCGTCCTGTAATCACACCCCCAGGACTGGCCTTCACATATTGATCTGAAATCCAGTGTCATGGCATCACTGTCTTTAATCACTCCCTGCCGAGGCGAGTATCAGCCAGGCAGATCTGCTAAGGTGCAAGATGCTATTCTGCACAACCCAGATAACTTACAGACATTTGGAGTGCTCATTTTTCCCCGTCTGCCCCGGTGACCTCGTCCTAACTTAAAGGTACATCTTGGGGGCATTTCGATTCGGGCAGAACAGGGTGCTATCGGTGACAGAGGAACTAATCCAGTCTTGCGCAGATTAAGAGTATTTGTGGAGTGGGGTGTGTTGGAGCTGGCGCCGGGGATGGAACAGAAGGGGCTCCTATCAGCTCTCCAGGCAGGCTAGCCCTCAGGCCAGCGCAGTCCTACAGGAGTCTTTGTACTCCCCAAAGCCTCCCCTCTCCTCTCGCTCACTCTATATCACTTTCTCTCCCCTCTTTCGCCCCTTTCGCCCTCTTTGTATGGGGCTATCATATTTTCACTGCTCCGTTTCCTTTTTCACATTCGTGAATGTTGAGCGTGTTCATGTGCTCACTTATATCGTCAGGTACTTAAACGAGAAATAACAAGAAGTAAAAGTGAGAATATCATTTTTCTGCGGGCAATTTAAGTATATACTGCCTAGTATAAAAAAAATGCTACTTTAAATGTTGTTAAAGGCATTACTACTAGATTGTCAAAACGCAATTACAACACCAATTTTTAATGGAAAAACTGGGGGTGTTGTTGTTTCTTTGCAGACTTTTCCTCCTTGTTTTTGTTTTTGTTTTTTTTCTTGTTTCTCTCAGCTCTGTCTCTGTCATATTGTTTTATTCTGGAAAGAAATCCAACAAAGAACATCTCGTCAAACATTCGCACAGACAAAAAAAATGTATAATTTGACTGTTAAAGAAATTAGGGAGCTATGAAAGGGCCTCTTTTTGTGTTTCAAGTGTGCTATTTATTTATCTGAAAGGATGCACATTGTATCAATTTACACTCCCCCATTCACTTCGCCACAGGCTGGAGGGCTCAGAAGTTGAGAGAATTAATTACTTTTTTATTATTATTTATAAAGTAATCTATCTGTAGAGAGGGAGCGGAAAAAGGAGAGGGTGGGGGGAGGGTGGAGGGGGGGGTGGGGGTGTGAGAGGCAGGGGAGGCCCTGGAGCATTGTCCTTTAAACTAGGTCCTGGCTCACATTATCTCCCAAACCAGCACTCACACAACGTCAAACAACAAACGAACTCTGGGCTGCTGAGGACGCTGAATGCAAGGAAAAGAGAGCGAGCTGGGGGGGGCAGAGGAGACGAGCGGGATGTTTCGGAAGGCTTAAGATGCAGTCATGAAGTCTTCTCCAACACAGGAAAAAAAAACTATGTTGGGAAAATAACATGGTTGTCAAAAAAGAAATTCTCAGCGCCAAGATTTGACATGGATTTAAACACCGCAATTCTCGTTCAATGCACCCGCGTGGATACTGAGAGATGTCATGTAACACTTGGGTGACGTCCTGGTGCGCCAGACCATATACACATTTTACGAATAGCTTTTTATTCTTCTCAGTACGTAAGTGCACTTGCTTTGAGTTGGCCAGCAGGAATCCCTCACGTTGTGCCAGAATTTTCTATCTATAAAGTCTTGTTTTACACGGCGTGTAGCAACAGACGAATGTGCAGGTGTGCGTGCAAAATATTTTCACGAGACATTTAAGTAATTGTCATTCAGCTTAAATCAGAGAAGATATATGGGAGGAAAGGACCACACAACAACACAATCAAACCAATCATCTTCATTGCTATACCTTCTTCGAGAGATCGAGAGGAAATTGTTGAAACACAGTTGATTTTAGTTACAGTGGTTTGAACACAAAATATGAAAGTCAAACAAAACTCAAATCATTAGACCTCCTCCTCCTCTTTGGGAGAAGGACAACTGAAGGACGACCTCACAGATGACAACACTTGTTAGACTCTAAAAGGGTCGACCCATGCTAATTTGCTAAAATAGCAAAGCGGTTACAATGTCAGTGATAAGAAGTCATTTTCTTTTGAAGAACTTTCATGAGCATGAATAATATTCCGGCCCAATTGTTGGCTATTCTATTTCACGAGGAAGCGATGTAATCAAGCTTCAATTAACCAATGACTAAAATGGACTCATGCCCTCCAGCTGTCTCTCTCAGGACACTTAACAAGACCCCCCCCCCCCCCCCCCCTCCGCCATGACAGCGCGTCAGGACACGTCGTCCTCTCTTCCTCCTCAGATTGTGCAGCCCGGCTCCAGATGGGAGGAAGCATCGCATGTGTCCGGCATAAAGAGAGCCATGAATCTCCCTCTTATGGATACATGTCACATGCTTTGTCCGCGACCACAGATGTGGACGGGACGAAGGGTGGGGGTTTCCATACTGATAGAGTTAACATGTGGAAAAGACTAACCAGCCTTGATGTTTCTGATGTGCTGCGAGTGCTTCATATTTCCTGTGAGGCCCGTTCGCAAGATATGATTCATTTGCAGAATATCGTTAATTTTCCCTCTGTAAAATAGTCCTGGCTCAGTGTATCATTTTGTGGACTTTTTGGACGCCGCGGCATGTTTGCAGCATATGTATGCGTTCATGCAAACATATGTCTGCGTGTGCATCACCCCTGTGTAACCACCTCCGCGATGGGCTAATTGGTTTAGCAGTCAAGGGGCCAAAGGCCAGTGCAGCATAGCAAAACTCAACATGAACCTGATGTTGAAGAGAAGGCTTCCATGCTATAGGAGGGAAGCATGTGTGGGGCAATTCCCCCTTTTTACCACCCCCCCCTCCCACACATAGACGCTCCACTTTCTTTTTTCACTTAAAGAAACTTGCAGCAGTAAGGAAACTAAATTCTTCACAGTGTTCCGGGGCGCCGCGCTGCAGACTGAGGGAGCACTAGAAGTAATCTCTTCCATTTTAACATATTTTGAGACCTTCTTCTGACGAGTGTCACATGCTATTACATTAATCTAGAATATTGAATTGGAGGCTTTATACACTATGAATAATATACACACTGTGATTTTCAGGCAAGCCTGAACCTGCAGTATCAGCGGGCCCCTCACTAAGGTTTGTGGAGGCTACTTTGTGTGGGGATCTGAGGGGATCATTTACCAGTTCCAACTCCATTACTATTCATGAGATGGGTAGGCTAGGGGCGAGGGATTAGGGACTCCCTTGGTGCTTGTTGTGCTGTAGGCTCGGGCTCAGGCCTCGGGCTCGGGGACAGGGGCTGTCTGGCACGGATGGTGGGTCTATTATCACCCAGGGACCCTTCTGTCCCACAGCAGAACACTTACTGGCAGTTCCAGCTAATGGAAACAGTCTCTCTTGTTCCCTTTCTCCTTTTTTTAACCTCATCACTTTCCTTATATCCTTCCCCCTGCTCTTTAAAAAAAAAAGGGGAAGTTTTTCCCTTTCCCCATTTCAAAGTTGAAATGGTGTATTTCTATTGCCGTCTTTACCGTGAAGTGCTCGGGTGGCACTATATTTGCAGGGGAAAAAAAGTACTTTCCCTCAACTCTGTCAATGCTTTGATCCTCAATTTCCCAAATTTCTAACATCCTCCGTTCCCCCTTTCCCCTCCAGGTGATGAGTATCCTGAGTAACCCCGGCGCTGTATCCTCCCAGCCCCAGCACGACTTCTCCATTTCCCCCCTGCACGGCAGCCTGGAGAGCTCCAACCCCATCTCAGCCAGCTGCAGCCAGCGCTCTGACTCCATCAAGGACAGTCTGGCCTCCTCTCAGTCATACTGCCCCCCGACCTACAGCGCCACCAGCTACAGCGTGGACCCCGTCACCGCTGGCTACCAGTACAGCCAGTATGGCCAGAGTGAGTAAACGTTGCAGTAACAGTTTTTTACTGTGTGTTAATGTTCAGCGTTGTGTTGTCGTGGATCCAAAAGAGAGTTGTTCCTTTAGATCCTTGAGTCCTGTGAAGTGATGCCCAACTTCTAGGGCAAGAGACTCTGATGACCTTTGCACCTTGGTTGGTGGAGGCGGACACGTGCTCTTGATAAAGACCACCCCTCCCCCGGCCCACCACCAACACCATCACCACCATCCTTCTCAAGAGCTCCCTTAGTCACACCACACTCCACTTGGATGGGAAAGAGGAGAGGGCTACTTCAAAGAACGGCACACCCTCAGGGGCCACAGTGTCCTCTTGCCCACCTCTCCCGTTCTTTCTCTTTTCTCAATCACACACACACACATGCACACACACCCTCGGGGCAGGAAAGAGTTTGCCTTATTAGATTAGCATAATTGACTGATGCTGTCACAGCCATTCATAAGTAGTAAAATGAAGCACACTTCCCCAACCAGCCAACCAGCGCCAGCTGGTCGACATTTGTTTGTGTTTATATGCAGCTCCAAGTGGTGATCGGCTGCATTGTGCATCTTTTTATTCATAGTTATTGTTGCCGTGCGCGATTGCACGCGAGCGCATACCAATGCGTCACGCGTTGTGTGCGCGCGTGTGTGTGTGTGCGTACCAGCGTTTTGTCAGCAAGCAAGAAAGTGACGGCAGTGCGGATGTGAGCTGATGTGAGGTTAATTAAGATGGTGATTGAGCACAGTGGATGGGTAATGAATGGAGGAGAGAGGAGAGAGCTGCTGTCTGAGCAGGGAAATGATCGGCCATGGGAAGTGTGGAGGGCATGAAATTAGAGATGCCAAGTGTAATGAAGACTGGCACACAGAACACACACAGGGGCCCGTGTGAGTGACAGCATGGAGACTTTACCAGGATGCACATGCTCCATGCCAGCAGCGTGCCAACCTCAGACAAGGGACAGGGGAAGGGTTTTTTATCTTTCACTCTCACTCCATCAATTGTTTTTCCTTTCACTCTGCCAGAAGTTATTTCAGCCTTAATCAGAGGATTGAAATGGGAGTGAATACGACATTTTGCTACCACCTGCCTGACGTGAGTTCTTTTTGTGTCCTTGCAGCTGCGGTGGACTACCTGGCGAAGAACGTGAGCTTGTCCACCCAGAGGAGGATGAAACTCGGGGACCACTCGGCCGTGCTGGGACTGCTGCAGGTGGAGACGGGACAGGCCTACTAAAGGCTCGTCACCCCCCCCCCCCCCGCCCCTGCTTCCCCTGGGCCCTGCACCACTCTCCTTCGCCCTCCGCCACCCTCCACCACGCTCCCATCAAGGTCTGGCCTCCAACTCCAGCTCGCCTCTCTGCTACTCGCCCTGCAGTCCGACCACACAACATCAGCGCACGGACGCTCAGCCCCGCGGCGCATCAGAATAGGGGCACGCTCGCGGCCTGTGACGAGACTCTTTGGGGAATTCACGCCGTCGTCAACCACCGGGCGGCTCTGCACCGCCTCTAAATCTCTGGTAGTCTCTGGCTGCTCCTCGAGCTCCTTCCCCAGACCAGAAACCCTGTTTCGTTTTGTTCGGAAAGGCATGACAGGACCAAAACAACACCAGGGCGGCTGGTTCAGCCGCCTCGGCGCAGGTTCATGTTTGTCTTGACTGCAGTCCAGCGCACATTTAGAGCCATCAACAACACGTACTTTGACCTTTGCTGTTCATAGTAGTTAACAAAGCCGATATCATTTGAAGGACTCTTATTCTTGTTCCCTTTTGATATTGTTAAGATTATTGTTGCTGTTATATGATTATGGTTAATGTGATTTATGTTGTTCTTTGATTCCATTCGTATCTCTTTTCTCTGTTAGATGTTGGTGTGTAAAACACAGTGTGGATGACTGAGACGATCTGGGAGGGAGTTTCTGTTGCTCGTGCGCGTTGTTGCGCGTCGGCACAGTCACACAAAGAGAGGATGATTGTTTTCCAAGCTGCTGTTCTTCTTGCCTGTTCCCTGAGCTCTAATGTTCCGGAGCGATTTGACCTTCCCACTTTCATATTCATCTTGACATTCCTAAAGAACTTGGCCACTCTCTGGGAAGTCTTGCCGGATGGACTCTGCAGGGAATTAAAGCAGCGTTTCGGCGGCCAATAGCTTTCCCCTTCTAACCTCCATCCCATCCTTAGCCCTGGTCCACGGGGAGGAGGGCATTGTTTGCAAAAACAGGATTGGGGAAATTAATGTATTTTGTTTAGAAATATGGACCTTGCCAAAGGGGGGCTAACGCAATTCCCTCACCCGCCTCCACTTCTCCCAAATCCCATCTGCCAGGGAACCCTGTGTGACTTTAACAGCAGATTAAATCACACAAAATAATGTCAACGCTAATTCACAGTGACCCTTCCCGTTGCCAACTAGTATTTCTGGTTTTATGGAATAATTAGCACCATTTTTGTAAATTCACCTTCAGTTGGTTTCCATTCGCAGACTAAACAAGCATTCCTTCGAAACATTCCTCGTTCTCCATCTACAAATAGACTACAAGCATTCCAACGTTCTCTGTTATGAGATTAAAAAGTACACAAGCTGTGCCATTCATGTGCACCCTGGATAATCATATAATCCAGTCTTAAAATGGCACAGGTAACACCTCTGATTGGTCGCCCTCTCTGGTTTGGACTCGAGTGCCCCCTCCCCCTTAATCCTCCGCTTTGACGTTTTCACGGAAATGTACAAAAAGAATTTTTTTTTAAAGTAAAAAATAGTGGAAATGAGACATTTGTGTAGCACTCATAGTTGACTTTTGACACACGATCCAGGAGCAGCCATTTCTTTGAGATGAATGTGACATTTTCTTTGAGCAGGACTGTGACAACGTTGATCACTTTATCTCAAGACGGTATTTGTTCTTAGGTCACCTTTTAAAAACTGAAAACTGTACAGTAGCTGGAGCAGATTGTGTATTGTTTGTTTATAAAGAGTATGTTTTATACTAAAACCGAACTACGTTGAGTGGTAGGTGAGCAAGGGATCTGTGGAAGTAAATGTTTGATTTGAGTTTCCTTGACTGGCTTTTTTTCTCCTGTTGGTTGTGTTTAAATTCTATTTAATTGGTTTACTTGTTTTGACCAAAAGTTTTGTTCCTATTTTTGGGCCCACGTATAAAATACATTTGTATAAATTAGTCCAATATAAATTCCGTAAAAAAAATGTTCCAATTAAAAATGGTTTAAAAGAGAATCCAACTGAGCTCAATGGAGAATGAAAGCTTGGTGACACAGATAGACTCCCTGGACCACAGCACCACTGTACATTTGAAAGGTGGCCGGATGAAACTTTTTTTTCTTCAACCACCCGATCTCACAGACTGAATATCAGTGCAAACCGGACGTGACTGGACCACAGACCTAACACACCTGAACCCTGAAACCTGGGTGTGGGAGGATGGTGGTGAAGCTGGAGAACACACGGCCGCGCTGCTCCGGGAACAACGAATAAAAGTCTTGTTTGATTTGTGGACCAATAAGACTTTAGGAGAAGAAGTCAAAGTAACACTGACTCCGCACTGAACTACAGCAGCTCCAACTGCTACGCTTAGACGCCTCACTCGTGTATATTTTAAAAAGGAAGAATTTTAGAATCGTCTCTAGTGTATCAAACCCATTTCTAACACTTGCGTCAATAAACATTTGGATATTTAAAGCATACAACTCCCGTCTGTTTGACCTGTTTAGTTTCTTTCTGACATCTGTGCTTTGCTTTACTCCTTTTTCTGTTTCGCATGTGTGTATATTATCATGGTATAATTTATTCTGCTGTATGAAGTATTAGAGTAGTGGGAAACTTGTACTGGTATTTACTACCTTCAGCCTGTTGGTGTGTTTACTGTAACACTGGCGTAACTGTTATCAATTAAAGATCCAAAACTGATTCTGCCACGTGTCTCTTTTTTTTTAAACGTGATTGCTGAATTATTTCCATTCAAAATAAAATGGAACAAGTTTATGTCTGTTTGTGTGTCCTTTTGATTTTCGTGAGAAACCTTCATCCGCTGTCTTTTCTTACAACCCGAGAAAGTGCATTTTCTAGTATGAAGCTGATTTATCCAGAAAGCTGCAAGCAGCCGTGCTGGAGGCCGAGCAATTAGCCAAACAGGCGCTTTTTGAATGTATAGTTGCATAATTTGTCAATTGATATACCATATATCATTCTTTTAACAATCTGGAAATTCCCAACTTCCACCTTCTCAAATGTGAGAATTTGCTGTTGTACATTAAAGTGAATTGAATGCATCATCGTGGATTCTGATGAGTATTCTGGCATTTATCAGAGTAACGATGAATCTTATTTGGTTGTAGCCATAGTGTGAGGTTTGAATGATACGGTGTACATACGTACACATCCATATTGCCTATGCATCTGCGTGTGTTCACTTCATGACACAGTTCACTGGTGGGATCAGCGGGGACGCCAGTGGACTGTGACGTGATGTATTTAGGGAGCGATGGGAACTCAGACTCAGAGACACAGAAGTCTTCCATCGCGCCCACTGACCAGCGCCATCGGCCTCCTCTGCTGCCGCTGGCCGAGGAATGTTGTCTGCGAATCTCTGCGGCATCGTGTGAACGCAGGCGATCTAACCGGTGCGGAAGCATCCGCAGTGTTTTTCACATGACATATTTTAAACGCACTAAACACACAAAGTCATGCCAAGTTGTGCTGTAAGAGATATAGTTACCGTTTGTATAGTGCAAAAATAATAATGAATACTTAACTATTCATTTGAAATTACGGTAAATGAAACTAATGAAGGGCATAACTAATTAAGTATTAACATCATAAACATGACATTTTATTGCAACATCGGTTTGATGTTAAATTAAGACTCATCTGAATAATTATATTTAGACAATATCCTCACGAGGTAACTATCATTCATATTTCATACTTTGTTAAATATTTTTTTAGATTTGAACGTACACATAGAAATGGGGTATTTAGTATTTGCTTTAGATTACTGATTCAAATCAGCTTTATACTCCGTTGCTATCACCCCATTTTATCACCAAGCCTCAATTAGATGTAAGTGGAAATTCTCTTGTGTGTCGAAAAACGTTCTCGGGTTCTGGAGAAGCACGTCGGGAATGCGGTCAATAACTCATTTCATATCGTTCTGTATCAGTTCCCTCATGTATCAGACCTCCTCTCAACCTATTTAAAATGCATTGTCGGGTGGTTCTCCTTTACATATTCTTTTAAAAGTTTGTGTTCTGGTTGTCCACATTAGACCTGGGCATGTGCTACGGTTGTCCCCTCCGCTCCGGCTCGTCTCCTGAGGTGCCTGCCCCCCGGAGTATTTGTCTCCCTCTGGTCCGCTGTCACTCAGACTGGACGAGGTGGCGGCTCAGGCGGCGGTGTGTGGGAGAGCTTTGTGACACTTCCCTCATCTCCTCCTTTGATCCCCTAATTGATTGACTACAGGAGCAGAGGATGAACAGAGCCCACAAGAGCCGATTCCACTCGCCTCTCTGGAGTGGTTTAGATAAAGTGCAGGGGCCCGGGTTCCCCGCGTTTCCTCCTCTCCTCTCTCTATATGGACATAGGGCCATTGAAGGTGGCTCTGTGCCACGGTAGCTTAGCCGTGGGCTGTGTCCTCAGACCCGGGCCTTGCGTACTGCCCCTGTGCCTAAATGGCTGGCGGTAATGGGTTTGTTTAGATCACAGGGATGGAAATGAAAGTCCCGAGCCTCGCCGTGGAGACCAGGAGGCCGTATCGCTCAGGAGACGGCGATAGAGAAGTCACTGCCTCACCCGGGTCATGCTCACTTTCACTCCGTGAGCCATGGAATGGAAGTTCTGATTCCGATCTAATTTAGGACCCGGCCCCTGAACCGGCCCATGCTGTGAAAAATAACCTGCTGCTGGAGACTCGGGAAAACCACGAAGAAGAGGTGGAAGGCGCAAAGCACCAAGCGAGGACATCCATTGAAGAAAGACTGTCTCCATTTTAAAGAAAGTGTGTTTGAAAAACATGACTTTAGAATGATTTATACAAGATATGATAATTACATTATAATTATACAAATCTGTCTTCAGAAAGAGAGTTCAGAGCCGTGTGCAGGTATGCTAAGAAATGATTAAGAGATGCTCTGGGGGTCTTGGTTTTATTCTTTGAGATTATGTGTCACGGGGAGTAAAAAGCTCCCAGCTGTCGCCATGAAAGCACTTACAGTATAATAATCCTCCAAATCCTGTAATTATGCCAGCATACGCCGTGTACCTGAGCCTCAGCTTTGTGCTCGTCACCTCAAGGATCCCACTGACACAGACGTAGACGCACAGCTTGGTGTGCATATATATTTTCTACCCAACAGTGTGCTTTGCATAGAGGGAACATCTTATTTTCAGAACATTTGAGCTATTTTGAATTTCATGGGCCGCCCCTCTCAGGTGTTATAGAATCTGTCATGAAAAAGTTAAAAGCTCAGATGGGGTATTGTCCTAGCTGGAAGTCGTCTGAATGACCAGAAACAGTGTCCCAATTATAAGATGTTTCACCTCAGCTGCATTTCACCTGCTTACATTTAATCTATGAGATACAACTTGACATATTTGCCTCATATTGCAAATATAGGTGTTGAAATAATTGTACAAACACAAAGACACACACACACACACACACACACCATTGTCCCCCTCCTGTAAAGCAGCTTTTTTTTTTAAAGGGAGAAGAAACAAGTCCAAGTAAAGTTGTAAATCTAAGAAATCTAAGCGAGATAAAAATCACTGTGAAGCCAAGCTTGATTTACATTTAAAATCTGAGCTGTGCTCTCAAACTAATTAATATTAATAACAAAATGGAAATGAGTGCAGTGGCGGCCCTAAGTGAAGAGCAAGCTGGGTGCATTCAGACAGGAGATTCATGTATAAGCCCTTTCTCAGGAGAGGTGGGCTCTAAACAGGCATGACGGCAGGGCATAGACCGCCATACACAGTGACAATTTTTCTAGATAATAGCCTATCACGCAGGATACAATTTAAATTAAAAAATGCAATTTTCACCTTGAAATGAACAAATGATTACAGTTTCTACACAAATTAAGGCATCCAGGCTGTGCCTCAGTACTGTGCCGAGGCCATGAAACCTGACATAATTACCATGAAATACATTTTCAAATATTTGTATTTCGTCCATCGCTTTAAAACATGCCTCTCTGCCTTCTGTGGGTTTGTGATCTCACCTTCTGGGGGAAATACATAAAAAAAAGAGGGAAAAATCATCAGAGATGAAAAGCTCTTCAACAGGAGAGATAAAAATGTGGAAAAAAACAACCTCCCATACACACAGTAAATCAGCGCAGCTCTGCACAGCGGTCCCCCGAGCTATCTCTAAAAGCCAAATTACTGCTCCTTATCTGAGGAATCATATCTACTAGTTATCTGCTCCTGAGATAGGCTCCTCTCTCCCTCGCTCGCTCTCTCTCTCTCTCTTGTGCCTCGTGCTCATCGCAAGAAATGCTATTTATTTGTGATTACAGACACCCTTTGAATAAAAGATGTTTGTGTTTGAGATCCAAAGTTTCTGCAGATTCTGAACTCCTCAGATTCTTCAGAGAGCAGCGTTTTGAAGGCAGAACACCTTATTTGGGCAGGTTTGCTAGGGGTGGTCTGCTACAGAGAGAGGGATGAAAGTGTAGCCGATGGGAAATATGAGACAAGACCTCAACCTTCTCCGACGCCTCGTATCACATTTGCTTTCGGAGGGGATTCACACTGAGATGAGGTGTCGAATTGACTTTAAATGCAGAACCTTATGTTTAAAAAACACACGGAGACGGGAAGTTCTGGCATATATTTTGTAGAAAGCTGCCAAAACCCGCAAAGTTGGAGTTGTAGGAGTTTCTCAGCGAAACACATGAACTATTGCATATGCGTTTTAACTCCATTGTTATTTTCATATTCCAAAATCAGAAGCTACTTCCCACTCAAAGATTCTTAAGCTCATTGTGAGCAAAGAAACTTTTCAAAGCTGAGAGCCAACAATTGACACCGTGTTATGACAAACCTTTTTTTCCTTTCTTTTCCCCGTCCTTTTCTTACCTTCCCTCCATCTGTTGAAGTCCCTCAGCCAGAGAGGCGCACATCAGATTTCAATAGTTGACCTCTTAATGCCGAGGTCAGCGCTGCACCGGCAGCGATTTCACACTCAAGATGAAAGGGAAATGAACACTGAAGATTGTAGGGGGTGACATGGGGCCCTGACCACGCCGGCCATTGCCACTCTAACCGCTTCACTGCACCAGGATGGGATCTGAGAGGAGCCAGGGAGGAGGAGGTGCCATGATTGAGGTTTGTCACCTGTGTAACAATGGCTAAAGTCACTGACGTTAAGACAGATATGCACTGATTGGCTTTCAACCATGTTTCAAATTGGATAAAACCACTTGTGCTATTGATTTCTGCTGAAATGAACAGAGGTAGGACGACAACTCCAGTAACACCGGCAGATCTCATGTGTCTACAAGCTACTGAAGCCTGTGGAAGGGTTACAATTATCTTTACCACACGTGAACCGGGGGACGCCTTAAAAGTCTCCTGACTTGCAACCTCCCGTCGCTGGCGCGTTTCTCCGGGGGCCATTATTGAATGCAGTGCGCTGAGGCGCGGCTGCTGGTGGACGGACAGCGCGGTAACACCGCCGTGAGGCCTGAGCTCCTCGGAGCAATGTGCCGCTTAAGTACCTGTCAGCTTTATAAAGGAGGGAGTAGACTGTGTAAATGTGTGTGTAAATAGAGTGTCAGATCAGGACCCCAGGGAACAGAGGAGGGGAGTGTGCATGAGTGTGTGTGTGTGTGTGCGCATGCGCTTTTGTTCACCGATGCATATGTAGTGCATGTGTGTGTGTGTGTGTGTTTGTGCATGCGAATGTC